GGTATTTACTGGATGATGATTGTATATTATGAGGGGAAGTTACATTTTAATTAATTTTGGAACGATTAAAGTGTTAACAGCCGGACCAAGTCATATCTCTCCGCTTATTGAGTTGTTCGCCAAATTTTGGATGTATTTCGCAAATATGAAGGCCATAAAGTAAAGCAAATAATTTTTTCCTTCTTTCGCCTCATTGATGATAAGTTATCCCACTGCACACTGACAGTGAACGCTTCGATGGCTCAGGAGAAAAACCATGATACCATAACATCTTTCATTTTTTTTTAACATATATGACGGCTTTCCCAGCCGCCATTTTTATTATTAGAAATAACAATCCGTTGATTAGTTGCTAAAAGTTCCCATGATTTTCAAGAAACGTTCAACCTGTTCAGGATAAAATATGAATGCAGAAGTAAGAGTTTAACCTTTGCTATCTTCTTTGAGGTGATGGAGGTTTATTTTTCAATTCGTTTGTTATTTTAAATTTCAGTGTGTTAAATGTACAGCTAATAAACGGAAACAAAAAACAAGTTCCTAATTTTTCCTTGAACTTATCTCGGAATTAATGATTTCCTATTTTCAGTGTTTTTTGTCACATACTTTCGGTCAAAGTTTTCATTTTCCATCAAGTCATCACAACTCGGAAATAAATGTGTTATACATCCATATTAAGGGGAGGGGGACTTTTGGTGCATTTCACCCCTCTTTTGTGACACGGCTGTAGCACCCCCTCCCCCTTTCTATCTTTTGAAAAAGGATGTGAAATATCTAGAGGCACATAGATAACAGACCGTGCGTTACTGTAACGGTGAGAATATTATCAATGTCTTTACTACTTACAGAACAGATCATTTACTTCTGCTGCACTGAACCATTCACTCTCAACACGCGGTGTATTAGACTTTGATCGTATCTGCCCTAGAAAGTGAAACTTCTCTGCACTGCAAGAAATCATGACACATGACATCAAATAAGAAAAAGCAATTGCTCAAAATACGAAAAATAGATTGCTCTTCAGAGAAATTTTCGATGAGATGCAGGGAAAACTAAAATATTGACACAAATAGGATGATAGCTTCACGGGTTCAAAGATCATTACTAATTTTCGAGTACAAAAACAACCTCAGCCGTAGAGAATTCTTATCATTATGCAAATGATCGCTCGATATACTGCTCTCAAATTGCGAGTTCTTTGTTTAAGGAAGAAAAGAGACAATGACAACGTAAAAGTAGCGGGAAAGACCACTGTGAGTTTTAAGAAGAATATCAAACAGGTACAAGGAACAAAGTATAAGAATCACCACTTTATTGTAGTCTAAGTTCAATCCCCTCTATCTCTTCCCTCAAAGAAAGATAACTGTTGATAATTACCTGGAAAGATTCAAGCTGGATCAGTTCACCCTCATGTCACCTGATTCTTACGATCTTTCGTTAAATTCTGGAGAAATGAATAAAGGGGTAAGTTTCTAAAGAAATTATGGTGCCGCGTCAGTGAGGGGAAGGGGGTACATTTATAAAACAAGATCATTCCGTTTTATCAACTGATTTAATAATGTAAATTAGCCACCATAAAGAGTTCTTGAAGCTGCCATTTCGAGCTTTCGCCCTTCGTTTAGAACGAAAGACGAAAGGCTATCACTCGGCACATCATAAGCTCACTGCACTGGCTAATTTACGTTATTCTGGATAAAACTTATAACGGTAGAAGTGGTCGGTACTGACGTCTTGTCAGACCGAAAACACCGATCAACGACATCCGTTCTACTTATTTTGTAGCGACTTTGTCTTCGATCGATATCATACAAATCCCACCAACTGAAAAATAAAGAGTTCACGAAAGAGTCAGTCATGACATGTAGATATCTTACCATTTACAGTCAGAAGCTTCGGTTGAACTGTGATCGATCTTGTGATAAAAATCAAAAGAAATAAATGCCAAGGCCTGACGTCCCCTGCTATACAAGTTACAATTTATTTCAGTTTTACAAACTCAAATGGCATCGTCAATAATTAAATTTAGATGTTCAAAACCGAATTACGCGAACAGAGATGGAAAATAAAAGAAAACACAAAGAAAATTGTTATAAATCTCTTCTTATCTTCCTTCCAGCGTAATAAAATGAACAAATGAGTTTCATTTATCTGTCCGTAACATAGAAATTCTATTTTTTCCGAATCTAAGATTCTTTTTGCGGGGAGTTTGCTTGATAATACAACGTTGTGGTGGACTGAAAAGAGGTCGAATTAAAAGTTAGCAAAATAGAAAGAATAGAAAGAAACTGTGATGTTGCGTTGGTGAGGGAGTAAAACAAGGTAATTTTGGTTTTCTTAACTGAGTTGATAATGTAAACTGGCCACCGTAAGGAGTTCAAACACAATCTCGGAATAGGTCACCTAGTGGTGTCCTTTTCGTCATCTTCTTGTTTCACTAATGGACATCTTTTTGCAATAAGCGCAAGTTATGCAACAGATGGCATTGGCGGAGGTGCTCGTGAAGTGATCAGCAATCTCAATGGATCGTTTTGGTCTCGATATTTTCTCAACGTTACGAATGAAAGGACAAGTTTTGCATCGTGCGCGAACCCATTTGAAAGTTTCAGGTTAATCATTAGTTTGTATTGAACTTTTGACCGATATGTAGCCCATTTTTTGTCGCGTTTGAATGAAATAAGTGGAATGTGCGAAAAGATAGTACCAGTCTCCTGAATCATTTTGAAGTAAAGTTTTAAGAATGGTGGATGTAACTGCGTAGTTGTGATGGTTGCTGGTTTCGAAACGATCAGGGACGCGTATTTCGTGTGCTTTTCATTTATGTTTTATTTTTATCAATGAATCTTTCGTTAGTTAATGATTGTTACCCATAGAATCGTTATTTCTGTCATGCATCAGATATTGTATTTCACTTTTCATCATATTAGTTCGGTTGCCGTTGTTGCTATCAACTTATTATCTGCTATCGTTTTAATTAGTGGCTAGACCAAAGTAAGTCATTCTTTATTTTGTGTTTACGATACTTCTTTTGTTTGTATTAATGCTATTTCTCGCACTCAGTTATTATATAACTCCTCTTCATAACCGCCATGATAGATTTGCTTTCCTCCATTTGTGGACGCCATCTTGAATTTCCCACAAGAAGTTTGAAATCGTCTTCGGACTGTCAAAAGTTTGCGCATGCGCAAATCGTAACACTGTCCCTTTTAGTGACTGACAGTGAACGTAAATAATGTACCTTTTCATTTATACTTAGTTTACTCCTATAGTCTCTTTGATAAAGGCGGGTAAACAAAAGGTTAATTCTGCTCGCCTATCCGGCTTTATATGAACCCGAGATAATATGAGATAACATTTGTAATCTTTCATTTTTAACCCTCAGCTGTAGTCCTTTGATTACACTGCTGGCGTATTTTTCAAATATGCAGCCAGACTTAATGGGATATGAAATTCGAATGATCACCTGTTGATTGGTTTTCTTTTTGGCAAAGAACGATAGGTTTCTTCTACAACAGAATGCGCTCTCTACTTCCTGAGATTGTCTCTGTGTGTATCCATCAACACTGTAGTGCACAGTGATTTAGCAAACCAGGCCACAACACGTCCCTTGCTGATAGGCCAGCTCAACAATGCTTCAGTTGATTCTGGCATGGAGGATTTCGAAAACGTTGGTGGTTTCCAGCATTATACCAATGTTTCAAGGAACTGGGAGACTAACATAAATTTACTTTTATCTATTTGGTTCAGGTGGCTTTAGTTAATCCCGACACTTATCTGAAGTCAATTCAAGAGTAATCTGCTCTGACAGGTGGACCTTTGAGTTAACAACTGTGTGAAAATCGACTAAAAATATGAAATTTCACATCTTGAAAGCTCTTTTCTACCACAATTAACAGTAACTTCGTGATCTCATTTGGCAATTTGCTGTTGTCTAGAAGAGTACAGAGAACGCTGCTCGCGTCAACGTGTCACTCAGCATGTCACTGAAAGAATCGTTTTATTTCACGCCAAAATTGTGGTAGAATCAAAACAGCAAAGATTTGGCGTGGCTTTCATTCTTATTGAAAACGGTATTCTTTATCACAGTGGTCATAATTTGTTCCTTTTTTTTCCTTGGTGACGTAATCGAAGCGCATGTCTTTTTTAACTTCTGACTTCTATTGGGTCGAGGACTTTTACTTCACGCAAGTGCTCCTAAAACTAGAGCAATTAAATAAATAAATGAATAAAAGAACTCTGAAATTTTCACTCTGGACGCGCGTTTCCTGCTGCCCAAGGACGGTGCAATTTTGTCAAACAAAGTCAACCAAGTGCTTTTGCAGAGGCAGAGCGCGTTTTTACGAAGCTCCGTCCCCCTTAAAACCTTTTCTAAATGTATTGACGAACTTCCCTCGAAACCAAGTTACATAAGATGGCTAAGCCATCAGAGTTTCTGTGTAACACAGTTTGATGTTACATAATTACGGCTGACAAACATTGTTTAAGGTTTGAGACACTTTAGAACCATTACAATGTTTGGTCAAAGCTTCAATGAAAAGAAACATCACTTTAAATGGAACTCAGTCTACACGTTTATGACAAATTTGTAGAACGGCTTTCTTTTTTCCCTTTTATCCATATTGTTCTGCCAATCATGTTAAAAAATTAAGCAGTAGGAGATAAAGTACATGAAGTGGGTCGAAAATGAAGTTTGAAGGGAATCATCGCTTATCAACGACAATTTACTAGCACTATCTTTCAAAAATAATTGTACCTCTAAGTTCTAATCAATCAGCCCCTGCTGTCCCCAATACGGCAGCATATGCAGTCAACAAGTTGACAGCCTGCCTCGTTTCCAATAGCAACCTGGCTTCTAGCAACCAATCACGCGCTACATTTTTAGGCTCCCCGCGAAGCTGATTTACCACTCGCTTCGCTAACTCCAGATCTCCACGCCGAAGGTAGTACTATGCGCGCGCTAGGAGATCAAAAGTATGTTTTACGGGATCAAATGAATCGAAAATTAGGAAAGATTAGATGTACGACAGCACGTGAATCCATGGTGAAGCTCCGTTTTCTCCTATCATGGCTACTCGTCGACACCATCTCCGGATCTTGTAAAAGCGACGCGTCACATTCTCTTCGTTCAGCACTCCTCTTAACACAGCCTCTTCTGGTAAAGAGTTAAGAACTTGTGAGACCAGTGGATTCTCTTCCGCCGCATCGTGAATGGCTATCAACTGAGGCAGCAGCGGTTTTGGTTGAGTAGCACCTTTGTCGATAGCTGTAGTCAGCGACTGACAAGCTGTCCACAGATTTTGCGCCTGCTTATTTTGTTTCTCAACATCTGCTCTTCCCTCTATCACTGATACTACACCTCGTAACTGAGCAAGAGCCCCAGCTAACTGCACCTTAAAAGCCTCTTTTTCTGTGGCCAATTTTTGTTGTAAGTCATCTTTATACCTGAGAAATGACACTGTTGCATTAGAAAGGGTAATTGTAAATGTAGCCCGTAACATGTGTATGTAGGAAGTCTAGGGCGGGGAGTGGGGCGGGGAGGGGGAGAAGAAAGATATTTGTACTTGTTTTGTTTTTCTGGATTCAAGAATTCCATATTATTTTATTCAATGAATTACTCTGGAAATCTTGATAGGCGTAGATAGATAGGTAGATAGGCGTTTATTGAGAAGAATACCTTAATAGCAGCTGGAAGCTGAATTGCAAAGGTGTACAAATTATGTAATAGAACTATACAATAAAATCAAACCTAAAAGGGAACTAATTTACATATACAATTGTAATAAATATTAGCTAAAATGTCTTGCGCTTGCCGGAATGAAAGTATCTCTGAACCGATTTGTTTTAAAGGAAACTCTAAATGGTCTGCGTTGTCGTAACTCCATAAGTTGACCTCGGTTATCGAAAGGCAGTAAGTGGTACAAACAATCCAAGGGATTGGAGACGATGTTGTTAAAGAATTTTAAGCAAAGGTCTTCTCTCCGATCCCTTAGGGTTTTCAGCTCTGCCATCTGAAGCACTTCTCTATAATGATTATCATAACCGTATATAATTTTCAAGGCTCTCTTTTGGACACGCTCTAAACCTAAGCTCAAATAATTGGGGAGGCTATAATGGTAGACCTGACATCCATAAAGTAAGACAGATTGAATACAAGCAACATAAAAATTAACTAATTCAGGTGATGGTACCTTAGCTCGCTTTAACTGAGTTAAAAAGTAAAGGCGCTTAGCGGCCTTTTTAATCGTCTCAGTAACGTGAGTGTTCCACTTGAGGTTGTCTTGAAAATACACACCCAGTAATTTTACGACACTAACGGCACTAACCTTAGAGCCATTAATTTCTATCAGATCGTAGGAAGGAGGGGAGCGCACAAAGGAAACTCTTAGCTCATTACATTTTTTCGGATGGAGTTGAAATGAATTGAGTGTTGACCAGGTAGCTACTTCGTTTATCATAGACTGAGCATTGCTAGGACCACCCTTGCTTATGATTTCATACACTGTCGTGTCATCTACATATTTTATACAATCACTGGCTGATGGTACTTTCAAATCGTTTATCATAACCAAGAATAGCCACGGTCCCAATTTTGTTCCCTGCGGTACTCCTGCTCGGACCGATCCCCACTCTGAGAGACAATCATGTGCAAGTTTGACCCTTTGTTTCCTATCTTTAAGAAAGGCTATTATCCAATTAATGATGTAAGGGTTAATGTTGTAGGTCGAGAGTTTCGATAACAAGAGGCTGTGGTCTATCAGATCGAAGGCTTTTCTATAGTCCAACGCAAAGATTCGCACGGTGTTCCCCGTTCCGTCTGTTGCTTGCGCCCAATTGTGCATCAGATTTATTAATGCGTGCGCAGTGGAGGATCCTGGAATACACCCAAATTGATCGGGTTCCAGGCGTTTTAGAAGTGCTGGTTTCACATGTTCATGGACGACGTAGTGTTCGGCAATTTTGGACAA